TGGAAAATGGTTTTATGCATTATTGAGATGGAATCCGGTTGACGAAGATAAACATCTGAAAAGTAATGGTAAGGCTTTTTAACAGTGGTACAGATTTCACGATTTTGGCGACATTGAGTAGTACCCTCCATCGTTAGGATGGTGTGCAAAAACTTATTCACTAACCTAGGGGTTTGAGCATGCACCTTCGAATCCGGTAGCCTTACAGGCGTCATAAGCGAGAGATGCGATTCCAGCTTGGGTGGTCCAACTGTCGCCAACCGGCCCCTTTTTCTGACATGCTGGGCGGGTTTAATTCAAACTTTCTTTTTCATTCTGGCATTTGGAATTCACATGAGACAAACAATACAGACTTGCCCACTAACAACAGTACTGCCATGCAAGCCGTGCAAGGAAGCGTCGCAAATCACCTTTAATCTTAAGTGGGAACCCAATCTGAATTCTTCAATTCTTCTCTCCCCCCTCCAGAGCCCCGAAGACTGATTTTTTCGTCCTCCCACAGTGGATAGCAATCGCGTTCCGATCAACAAACGGCAAAACTAGGCAATTCGCAAAATAAATCAATAGATTCAATTCTGTAACTTGAATAATAGCATATTTGTAGCTAGTGAATTAGAAGAAATTTTCGGATGCTTTGGAGCCTGTTTAATGTTGAGGCTTGTTTTTTCTGTTCATAAAAACTTTCAGGTGGCCTTCGTGGTCTTTTTTATGGATGAGCACTATTACTTCGCTTTTCTGTGCCTCATTTTGTAGTACTTGGCGTGAAATTCACCTAGCCGCCATAGGTAGACACAGCTAAGAATCTAAGCCATGACTGCTTTTTTAGGAAGCAGTTCAGCGTCAGTCTAGCTATCAGTGAAGTAAATCAAACGCCTATCCACGTCTTTTTGGTAAACATCAGTAAAACACCAATGCTAACAACCAGACAGCGCCAATGAGGATTCTTCACTATATCCAACCAAATAATAATCTCTGGATAAGCCCGAAATCTTTGAGGCGCACAAACGTCAGTATTTATGTTGGTCTCCAGAGTCTAGGTTGATGCGAACTCAGCCACGCCTGTCTAGTGATTGATCACCCGAGGTTGTTTGGCATATCCGTCTGGCAAATTGTGATAAATAACGTCGTGGTACAAATCTTCTGATCTACTCAATAGAACAGGATGTCGCATTCCTCTTTATAACCTTATTTTGAAACGACGGCTGTGTGCTGACCCCTACGTACCAACCAATTTGCTTGTAAATAAAATAAAAACTACTGGTGAAACATTGTCTGAGGATAAATCATTTATAAGATCCACTGGCTTCCAGGATAAGGACCGTTAAGCTGTAAATTAGGTATTCGTGAAGCAGTGGTGTCACAACAATGGGTGAAATCATCATATCATTTCGGGTACATTTCGATTCCCCAAGCAAAAGATCCGCCTATTTAATGTGTCACACCCTCACCTAACTTTCCGATGTCATCTCGAATCGGACTGTCACCATCGCGTCGCTCATTGGCCAACCACATTGCCCAATCAGGGCACCGTTCGAATAGGTCTGCCAGCAAGTCGAGTGTTTTGCACGTTCCAACCAAAATGTGGAGACCAGCAAAAACTATGCAGTCTGTCGGGTTGGCTTTGGTTGTGCGATCCCATTCCTTGACGTAAATGAACTTGAAATAGATATTCTATTGAAACTCCGCTGACCAGTTGCAATTTCCTGTTCCGGACTGTGTTGTGAAACGTACTGAACCATGACTCCGTGTAGCGGAATAACCCATGGATTTTTAACTTCACTATTTATCCTAAGTTGGACGATGCAAGGCAACACCCTACAACAAAATCGTCCAAGTGTGCAGGATTTCAGTGGCACCAATGATAAAATGTGGACTGATTGGCGCCAACACGTTGACCCACATGGACAGTGGCCCAATTACTGGCAAACAATTTCACGACCTACAGGTTTGTTTCCACCTTTGGAATTACGGTCGATTCCGAGTGCAGCATTCAACCTCAGCTACATTTGCTTAAGGTGGCAATGCTTGGGGGTATGATATTAATGTTTCATGTGACTCACCCATACCAAAATCACATATTGCTTTGTGTGATTGACAGTGTGTGAATCGGTTTGTCCTATTACTTGGTCGTTCATCATGAATTCGCATGACAGAAAAAAGGTTCCAAGTGTATTAAGTTCTAGTTCAGCTTGTTGGACGATCCGCTGGTGGTAATGGGCTCGGAACTGCACAGATGAGATTATCATGCTAGCATAGTATAAGCCACGCGTTTGTACGGTTTTCGTAACAATGATAGATCCATTCGAAAGAGATGTGCTTCCTTTCGTCCAGCTTTAAGTGTTCATTCCCGGAAGTGAGTCCACTAAAGAGAAGACCTGTACTTTTGCTGATGGTATCCTTCTGTATATTTGTTATTACTTATGTATGCAGTGCCTCTACCTAAACGGACTACCTTCACAGGATTCAAAAATGTCCCTTAAAAGCGGTAATAGAGCGATTTTTCATCGCAGTGATGATCAAATTTCAATTGGATAATGGAGTTTCACAAAGCCATTTTGTGTGCTGGGTAGAATTTTTCACTTCATCCAAACTGAGTGCTCCAAATCCCTAGTAATTTACGCGTAGTAGCCAGCCGCGGCCAGCTCCTGTTATGTAAGTCATTACGAATGTGTGGTTTCATCTGGCTAAACTCTGATACCAGCCACCAAACAGGGTGATTTGTGACAATAATGTGACCTTGTAGCAGCTGGAAATGGATAAGCTATGAGGTTCTCTAATTTCTCCGGTGCTTTGTAAGTACCCAGATCTAAATTACCACTGGTTTATCAAGCGGCTATTTAACCTGTTAGTTTTTAAAGGAGACAAATAAAGTCCACCGGGATGTCCTGCTCAGTCACTGTATGCATCACCTTCAGTTCCAGAGTATCGTGGGACGAGTAATTCAGTTGAATCGTATGTTTTAATTCTAAAATAAGTGCATCACTGTACTTACCATCCTACTTTCTGACTGAGTAGGATATTCACAGACTAAGTCTACCTGATGGACCCTGATCAGGAGGAAACTACTCATAAGTTGTCCATACATCTCATCGACCTTATGAGTAAAGGCACATCAATGAAAGTACTCCGATATTTTGAAGTTATCCCTACTGAAGCGGGAGGTATTCATCTCGCAGCAAGTTTATTTGATAAATGATGTGGACGGTAGATGCGACGAGCATTCATTTGAATGTCCCTTCAAACCTGGTCTAAAAGCTTTTATGAAATGGCCATCCGTGTGGAGAACATGAACCGCTTAAGGTAACCGTTGGTTTTGATAGGGGACTTAACTGAATCCTAGCTGAGTCTCTTGCTTGCGGTATTTTTCAGCTCAGTGTGCTGCATAAGGGGCGCTGAATGTTTCAGTATAACACAGTGCGTAGTCTAGAATAAACACACTAATAAAAAAGGTTGTTTTTCAGCAACCTTGTGATAGTTTCTTTTCTTTGAACATTAACTTTTCTCTCTCGTTTGTGATGATCCTCTGTGATAGAAGTGCAGTCGGTTGATGTGATGTAGACTGAAGTCAGTTATGCCATATCAGTTCAACTAGTACTGGCTCAACAATAGCGGGACGAGCATAAATTTCACCACAGATATTAACAGGAAAAGCTCCACGACCGATTTCCTCCGCATTACGTTGGAAAACCGGTGTTCATCTACTTTCCCGTGTACTCCGTATAAATGCGGTAAAGACCTGTGTTGACCTACTATTCCCCGTTAATCCTATTGCTTATAATCAAAGCGACACTGGTTATCGTGGATGGAAAATTATCGGTTTCTCATCAATGACCCATCAACTGTTGCCCAAAGCAACGGAATATTGATTACAAGCGCTGTGTGAATTGAATTTCTCGTCCGTTTCGCACGGTTGGGAGCGCCGCAATCTGCCGAAAAATGGGAATTGTTTGATGAGTGCATTCAATTAGTTGTAAAACTGACAAGTCGGTCCGCAAGTCAGGTTAGTCGAAATTGTTATCCAAAACAAAGCCAACAGATCACTCAGAAAGCTTAGATGCAAGTAGTTAGAGAAGGGAAATAGAGAGTATATCTAAGGGCAGTGTATTTGCAGTAAAGTTGAACCAAGCCCACCTGCACAGCTTTTTAGAGTAACGTTTTTTCTTCAGAAACAATCTTAATACCGAGTGAGAATAACATACTCTGGCTCAGATATTCAGAGAATTATGTAATCAGTCGAAGTGGTCATTGGAAGTCAGTCTGGCTGAAGTCAATGAGCAGGAGTCAGAGCTGAAAAAATTTAACTGTGTTCAGAGACATCTGTAGCTGACAGGTGACTGTCCGTATGCAGAAGACGCACAGAGTGGCCCTGTATGCCCCAAACTTACGAATGATAGCGCACCAGCTAATGCTCCATTTACTGTTCTATTATATTACATGTATATATATATATGTATGATTATATGTCCATCTGTAGCTGACAGGTGACTGTCCGTATGCAGAAGACGCACAGAGTGGCCCTGTATGCCCCAAACTTACGAATGATAGCGCACCAGCTAATGCTCCATTTACTGTTCTATTATATTACATGTATATATATATATGTATGTATTATATTTCTATTATATTCAACGTTTTCTCAATAAGCAGTGTAGGATGTATCAAAGTCAACCTGTGAGAGGCGAAGCTATTTTGCATGTACATTTACTGGTGAGAAAAAACAAATTTTCCTCTTCTAATAATTGTGCAACAAATTTCGCTTTTGTTATGTGAAAAGAGAAGCTAGGTTTGGATCTGGTTAACGGTAGAAAATGGATCAGAAAAATTACAGTTGCTAAGCTTCATAGAAGGTGAAAAGTTATCTCGGGTCAGAAGGAATCAGAGTGAATTCAGAAATTATCGTCAAAATTAGAGAAGTTCCGGATTTTGGTCTGATGTCCCCCTCAGGCTACACGTTTGATAGCCTCCCTTCTCCACTTGTCCCATTCCTTTCAACAGCACCCATGAAACCAAAGAATCTTCATTTGGTGAGTATTCACAAGCGTCCGAAACCCAAACCATCCCATCCTGATCAGCTGGGCTACGTGGGGGTAGCCGAACCATCCTACTTATCAATCGAGTTAGCTTGGGACCCTCCTGATGGTCTGCGTACTAGTCAGCAGATCACTTACCAAGTATTCGTCCGTCTTGTCGGTCCGGAGGATCTGATCAGTGAATTGGTCGAACAGCAACCTGGGATGTCAGCAGGCGAATCGATGTCTAGTGGATACGGGATGTACCCCGAAGGCGGACTGGTCGATGATCCAAATGGTTACCACAATGAGGCATTAAATCTCCATCCTCTGCTTCGCCGTCGTTTGTTGGCCAACGTGACTGGAAATACGTTCCGATCTACGGATGGTGACAGTATAGGTGAGTCATTCATCGCGCTGCTGGTATGTGTGCTCCCCCAGTGGACATCAGTGAAGGATCCAGCATAATAATAGCCGTAAATAAACACAGACACAGCATCGGACCACCGAGTTCTTGCACATTACATCAAAGAAGGATATTTGCGGTTGAGCGGCCAAAACAAGCCGCTGTGCAGCGATGCATCTGTACAATTACGTGGCCACGCAAGGTTGGATCGAGGGTCAGGGCTTGCATCCGCATAGCTTAGTAGTTAACATGTGACTTTGACTCATCTCCATGTACAACAGCACTTCAAACTGCATTCGTCAATGCATGTATGTAATATGCGCGTGCCTGCATTCATGGTTCGGTGCATGTGTGCGTTTGACGTACTTTGTGTCCATGATGATGGTAGCTATTTTGAAGTTCCGTTTATGGGATAAATACTATTTCTCCTCAATACTCAACGATTTCCCTAGCAAACCCTCGCCCAAATTGTGAAGAACACCAATTAGTGCTGGGTTGGGGTGGATTAGTTGCCTGTGTACACCGATATGCGTTGCTTTTTTCAGGGAGCAAACAGAGTTGGGGTGGATTAGTTGCCTGTGTACACCGATATGCGTTGCTTTTTTCAGGGAAGCAAACAGAGTTAGACACCGGTTCCAGCTTCATGGGCTATGTTGGTTGCGGTGATTGACAACTCTGAAGAAAGCGTCAACGAGATGATCATATCAATTTTGACCCTAAACGGCTGTCTGAATTACGGTGATCGAAACCGAATCCGGTCTGGCTATCATTAGAAAGACAAAGATTCTCTGGTGAGACGGGAATGCCAGATTGGTCAGAATCATCCGGCCTACCTCAGACATATGCTGAAGCTCGCCCAGTTCATATGGCAGTTCTACCAAGATGGAGAGATACTTTATAGCCCGGCATTCGACAATACTGGAAGTTGCTGATTGTCAGAGTTATGGTCGAAAAGGCTAATTCCAACTTCTTGTTTTCCAGTTTGTCTGGCAATGAACTACCTCAACTCGTGATGCCAAAATTCGTTCACTTGTCCCCTCCCGTAACAGCTGAAGTGATTCAGATAATTTTGACATATATCGTTTTTCAAGAACGTCCAGATAGACAATGCGTGACACAAGCAGATACTCTAGACGTGATAAACTATTCATAAGGTTGCTGAAAATTCCAGGCGAATCTCTTGCAAAACTAAGTTTGTTTGTAAATGACTGTATTTCGCTGATAATATGCCGATCAAATCCAATATCATACAGCTCATAGGAAAATGTTTTATCTCATCGTATCTACCAGTAGAGCACCGCAAAATTGCTGGTCACATCATCATAGAGTGCAGTCTTCTCGCGTTTAATATTTGCTCTTTGCCAAATATATCAAATGACATCAATTTTTTCCATGCGTTTAGTGTTTTGGTTTGAGTCACAAGTTGAAACTGCCGCACAGCTATCAACGCTGCTCCTCGAAAGCTGTCGGGTTTAAGCCTAGAGCCTGAATGATTCCATTCATTGAAAAAGACCTAGAAACGTGTTACAGTATTGTGGTTGAAATTCCTTCCAGTTTGAGTTATCTGGTGGTTTCCATGGTATTTGCGGGCGTTACTAAATACTGGACTTTGGCTCTCAGCTAAGACGATGTTGAAAACGGTAGGAAAACAATAACAAATCTTATCGACAATTTCATATCAAGGCAACTATCGATTCCTTCCACTTGTTTACGCCCTGCTCTCACGCATTCATTAAGACCGCTTGGCAAACCATTCAGTTCGAGCGGCACTCGGTCATCCGTAACCGCTACATTAAGCGATTGGTTGGTTCAACCTCAGGTGGAAAATTCTCACCAACCACGGTGTGAACAGAGCTAGGTAATTTGAAAAATTGATTACTTTAAATTCATTTGATCAAAACAGCAAGAGGATAGGAGTTGTTTCATTTTTACATTTCACATTACCTCCCTTAGCCGCGGCCGTGTACCATTATACAATAAAAGGCCTATTAAAAGAGACCTAACGTCGAATACTACCTTAGACCTCATGTCCGAAGTTTGGACGAGGTCATTTCCATGGTAAACGGAAGGCATGAATCAATAACGTTTATTCACATATTGTTGGATCTTATGCTCCAGTTAACATCGCTCCGGATTTTAACTGTGCAGCGGAAGTTCGGAGCCTTGAAACTGGTCAGCTTTATGAATCGTTTGCTGGATACAACCGTAGCAGATCACCCTCAGCCCCGAATCGTTGTTTTTTAGCTGCAGCAACTCTTTAGAAGGAACTCGGAAACCTTCTGAGAAAGGTACAGAGCCGCTTACATTTGTGATAAAGTGATTAGGCTTAGTCTTGAATTTATTCTGACAAACAAATCCTCCAATTACGGAGATTGAGTAGCTAAAAACGTGCAGATTGGAACAGCTTTGAGTTTCTGTTCTAGTAATGCCAGCACAGTGGGACTTTTTTCGTGGTGGCATTGCCAGTCATGTCAGAGGATGTGTTCTTAATGTGAAGGGTGGTGAAGCTGTCCTGGTAGGTGCTTAGGATCAAACCCCGTTTCAAGCCTCCTGCTTCATGCACTTATTTATTAGTGTGTACCTTTCATACTCCTATTATTAAGCCCCCCTCTTATGCGCTGACCGAGAAACTACAAAGATGTAGCTAGCTATTTTCCGCTCTATTTGGTTTGATGGTAGACCGTTCCTCACAACGTCCTACTGCGGATGACGCAAATCTCATTCAGTTCAACGTCAGGACAATTTACAGTTAGCAGTATTCATAATGTCAATAATCAACCAAAATTACAGTCAGGAGTAAAATTCAAAATGCTATTCGTGTACGGTTTGTAAAAATAATAACTTCAGATATTACCATAAAGTTGTTGAACCCTTACCGGAAGTAGTATCAGCCCATTTTGGGCCCAACGGGTTGAACGTGGGCCGAACAATTCATACGATATGAGATGGCAATGAAAATCTGCAAATACAACTCAGAACCAATAGATGGTGGGATACTCAAAGTTCCTGTGAGCTTGGTAACTAGAATACACAACGAGAAATACGCAAGGCGCGTTACCTATCTCTGCTTGGGTGCACAACAGCAGTTGTATATTCTTTGCAGGGGGAAGTGATGGTGAAGTCTTGGTCCTTGTCTACGACGTGAATGGTTTTCGCCTAATGTGATGCAATCGCTCTTGAGCCTGGTTTCTTCCCACTACCACTCAGAGATACGGGCATTCTGTCGGACAAATGCCTTGTCGTACGACCAACGTATGATGCTCGGCACGAGCATACAAATGAATACACACAAAAGCTGGTGGTAGAAGGTGGCAATTTGTCCTTCAAGCAGAATTTGATAGTGGGGCTGGAGTTGAAGCTCAAACATAGGTTAGTGGCCAAGTATGTCGTATCAGCGGAGTTTCGAAGCCCTTTGGTGATCAGTTCAGCAACCAAGTCACGACCTATCCCTCATCCAACCCCCCTTCCTTTGATTTCTATTTCTCTAAAGTGTATGTAGCCCCGATCTTAAACCATACCACGTGATTTCTGCTACCATATAAATTTGTGATGTATTAGACAAGAGGAACAATCACAGAAAACATGCTTTGTTCGCTACCTTCTTTGTTCACTTGACAGTTTGATGTGACAGATGTACTGCACCGACTATCTCATTCGAGATGCTGGGAGCAGCCACACAAGAACTTCGAGTGGGGATTGATGGCTAATCTAGCCACTTGGATCAGAATGAGCTCTCTAAGCAAAACTATGGATGAACGTTCCATCAATCCTCCATATTTCGTTCGCATACCGCATAGACCTCCTCAGACCTGAGCACGGCAGCGTAACGATATAGAGTGAGAAGCGAATTCGGACTGGTACCATGCTTTCAGTTTGTTTGTCCGAGGGCTTGCGAAGCCAGTGTCACAAACTGAGAGAACTCATGGCGTCACTGAGGCTTTCAAACCATTTAACATAAAACTTGTAAAAAAAACTATTCTTTTCGTAGTTTTGTCTCATTCTTTTTTGATGAGACAGTGCCATGTTTACGGATTTCAGGCTGGAAGCCAGCCTGAAAAAGCTGTTTTGGGCTCACTGTCCTTTTTGAACATAAAAAAACAACTGAAAACAAATGACTAAATTTCGGCCCGGCTGGGACACGGTTATTGACAAAGTGGGGCGTGTGCAAAAGCGTCAGCCACGTGACATTTTGGACGGAACGCGTCCATTCAAGAGTGCACGATGCGACTGAACTGCCGAATGAGTCACTAGATGAAATGTTCGAACGGTCCTAGTTTGAAACGGGGTTAGTCAACCATGGTTGTCCCATGACGTCTATTTTACCCCATGCGTTTTTTGAAGTTTACTATACCAAAACACTCCTTTTCTCACCCATGCGCAGCGTTTGGTGCGACGTATCAGTTCGAAGTTTCCCTTCTGAATGCATCTGTCACTGGTCCATCTGCCCGCTTGAACGTGACTACACCTGATGCTCGTGAGTCCAGTGCACTGATTTTCATTATCATTTTTTTCAGTGTGACATCTTAGTGAGTAATCGAACCTTGGCTGAAAACGTCAGACTACACTGTGGTTTTGTCATCCGGTGAATGAACAGTTGTCCCATCCGACTAGTCACAGCGGGAGGTCATGAAATGCACTCCGGCACGCCTAACCATCTGCCTGAAGCTGAACACATACTGCCTGTTAAGATCAGTCGCTGATCGATAAATACACCCGCTAAGTAAGGGTAAAATTTGCTTTCCTACCATGGACAACGAATCCGATTAAGTGTACGAAACTACGAATAGTTTCAGGGTGGTTTCTTCGTGAACATCTTTGGTAACGTGTGAATGTAGTTTAACTGAAATTTTTGTGCAAAATATATTGCCGGTCATCGGCGAAATATCTGTTAAATCTTCAGTTCTTCTATTTACTGTTCAGCTCATTTGTGATTTCACGTGATTTCACGCGAAAAGTCCGGTGCTTCATATGCTAATGACTGGGGTTTCTAGCTCCCTTTTGAGTTAACATCTTGAGTGTTAACATCGACCTTTTCTGCTGATTCTCTCTTCATCCGGTTTTCCAAGCCAAAACCAAACCATCGACATACACGCTTCGAGATACCGAATGTAGGATTATTTGAAATATACTACACGTAAAGTAGATAGCTGTTTGAAAGCACTAGAAACTCAGTTAAATTCACTGGAACCAGAAGGAATACACCAGCTGAGTGGATACCGGAAAAGACTTAAACCATCGAATTCTCAGTCCAAATAAAATCTATCTAGTTTTGCGACGACATTTTATCCGCATAAAACGCGTCCCAAAAACAATTTGAGCTAAACGTCTCATTCATTCTGGTGTATAAATATGTCATTCACCCTTTACTCTGGGGTATCTATTGTAAGCGATAGCAAAGTCACCTTGATTTCCATTAAACGTTACTTCCGATTCTATCCAGGCCGTGGAGGATAATTTATTTCACACGGCTAGTACAGCAGTCTTGTCAACCGCTTCTATGTAACGACTTTCTCCCTGCGCATCTCTCATAACCGACATTTCCTTCCCCTGTTCAATACGCGACAAAAATTGCCTCCCACAGATGACAGTCTTGATCGAAAGGTTTCTGGTTATGAACTGAAATTTAAGATGATTAATTAGTCATGAAAATAGACTGTAAGAGGTGGGAAGAGAGATGACCTGTGTTTTCTAAGGTATAAACTAAAGAAAAATATGAACCAAATGAAACACAGCAAAAGTTTTACATCGAGATGTTGCAAGCAAATTGGTCACTAGGATGCAGTGAAGCATGTCCCGATCAGGGATGTGAAACTGAACCGTTCAACAAAATGTCGAACCAAGCCCATTAGCCATTGTCCCTTGTATGACCCGTCATTTGATTGAAGCTGGGCTTTCTATCAAACTTTTATCTACTCCACAGATTTGCTTGCAATCGTATCTAGGATAAGAACAGTATGATAAATCAGTCTACTCAACCGGTTGACATGTATGATAGTTATTAGTAAAACACAGCGAAGTACACCCATTATAAATCGCGTAGCAGGTCAGTGAGTAGCGGGTTTGTGATGCAAGGTAGGTTAAGTTTCAGTTTACTATATGTGAGCAGAATAGTACCCCTGTGACCGAGGCATCGCATTGGGACACCATCTCGTTTCGTTGTCTTCTACATCAATATTGCCTTGTGATTCAGGCTAATGTGAAAAAAGCCCGACTGATACATTAGCATTTGTCGATTTCCTGCCGCTTTCAACTGTGAAAGTAGACAGAGGAACATGACTTGTGACGCATCTGAGTCATCGCCTACCGCCAGACCGGCTTTCAAATGTTTTTGCAGTGTTACTGAAGCGAAGATAGAAATATCCCATTTGAACGTAGTTTTGAAAGGGATGACTCAGCAGACTGCAGCAACAGATAGGGTAAAGTATGATCGCTTCGAAATGAGTTTCCTCCTAGAGCAGAAAAGTACATCCACAAGAACACCGCCTACGCATTCAGCTCCGGTCATCTGTTTACCTTGGTGAGGGCACAGCCACTGTTATGATAACTCAAACCGGACAACCCATGGCTCCCATCTCCAAGTCGGCGGGTCACTTAGGATGGCAAAAGATGGTTCAGTCCGTCTTTTGTTTGTTCTTATTGATCTCTCAGTCAGGTAGTGCTAGGGATACTTATGAGATTCGTTCGTAGCCATGACCTTTTGTTTGACATGTATTCTTGATCTTAAACAGTCACTCACCTGTTTTATTCTTGACTCAGCTCCTTCTACCAGCCCTCTTCATGTGCGTCTCAGCGGCCTATCCTCAAGTGCAGTGGAGATTAGCTGGGCACCTCCACCAGTGCAATATCGTAACGGGCGGATCACAGCCTATCAGGTTCGATACTTTGAAGTCGGCGCCGAAACCCAGACTGAAACAATGGCCAAAGTTACTGTCCCTGGACAAAGACAGCACACAGCTAAAGACCTCAAAGAGAAAACATTCTACACATTCATGGTGCGTGCATTCACTTCTGCTGGCCCAGGTCCATGGTCCGGTGCCAGTAACATCCGTACCAGCGTCGAACGTAAGTCACTTCTAAATCTTGTTCACAAACAGACGTCCAAACGTTCGAAACACAATGGTTAACACCTATTGCTGAGAGCTCCAAGCATGAGCACCGTTGATGGATGCACATTCCGGAACTTCAACTTGCATTACCATAGAAACAAAACGGAAAATTCTTTCGAGGGCAGTTAAGGTCAATGACTTCTTGTTATTTCTACACCAAACAGAGTAGTACGTAACTTTGCTATGGACAACAGGTAACTATGGCAAAGTGTGAAATGGTTTCATCCACATGTGGTACTAATGAGCAACCTAGGAATAGTCGACTATGTTAGTTCACGAACTACAACAAGCATCCTGTAGTGGACGCAGTGACCCATTTGCAAAAAAGTAGTGCGCATTACCAAATTCCAGCTGAGTCTCTCGCTTATGGTATTCTTCAGCTAAATGTACTGCACAGGGCCACTGGGATCCAATCAACCCTGTCGTGTGCTAATGAGAGCATCCCATGAGTTGTGTTCAAGTAGAGCATTGCTTGACGGACGCTACGCCAACCCGATGAGCTGCAGGAAGGATGAAACTGGTCGTGGGCTGCTGAAGAGTGTTAGGCAGATTTATAGCTGGTATTCCTTCAAGATAAATGATATACGTTTACGAAATCACAGCTATGATTGCCTCGGATCCTGCTTCTAAAGGGAACAAACACATCAGCACATCATATGTTTTGGTCGTCAGTTGACAAAACCCAGTGGTGGTTGAAACCACATTCATATCAGATGAAGTGGGCTGTGCTTTGTGTCACACTGGCCTCAAGGGAATGTAACCCCAGCTGGTGAACCTTGATAAGAGTGAAACACAGCTCGTAGCTCACATGCCACACTTATTCCGGAAATGGGTATCCCCCATTAGAAAGCATACCAGATACAGCTGAATTTGCTCAACACTCATCCATAAAGTAAGGATATTTCATTTAGAGGACGAAGTCCAATGGAACGTGTTCTTTATGCTTCCAAATTAACGAGCCTATTTATTGTTCTTTCCAGTACCTCCACCTCCGTTAGACATTCGAGCCACCCGAATCAATCAGCATCAAATTAAAGTTACCTGGCGCATTCCGACGGGAGAAGAACTAGGTGCTGGATCCCGACATATGTCAATTCAAGGTTTTCGTTTACTCTACTCATCCAACAACAATCCCTACGAGGCTGGGCAGTGGACATCATTCGACGTCGCTCCAATCAGCATGTCAATCATCAGCCATTTGGACAGCAAAACGAGCTATGTGATATGCATCAAATCTCGGGGACCCGATGGTCGATATGGGGACTGCAGTCAACCCGTCATCAGCCGGGCTGTCACAACCGGTAGCGAGTCAGAATTCTCCGTTCGAAATCTGTATTGTACTGGGGATGAGACAAGCGTCAAGGTCACCTGGCAACAACCAATTAGAACAAAGCAATTAGAAGGCTTTAAGGTAGGAACACATTCGAAAATTTCGTCAATTTTCCGAGGTCATAACTGTGCCGGACACTGGAAGGTCAACCAGAATGCCTTCGTCGATAGTCGATAAATTACCGTCAAGAGACGACAGTAGCCCTGGAACATCAGCAACTCAATAGGACAAGCAAGACAGGGGCGATCTCTATCTGATGTATGTACCTAGTGCTGATTCATGGGGAATTCTGCAAAAACCATGGCCTACTGAATGGGAGACCAATAAACCCATCGAGCTGTCTCATGGTTACAATGATAGTGAAGTTTACCGAGAATTTATCCACTAGGGTACGAGCACCCATGAACATTGAACAATAACCTTCAACCAACCAAAGCGTTCACCTGGACAAGAATCCTACATAGTACACGCACCACCAATGAAGGATTCTGTGGCAGTGAAGTACTAGGCCGGCTTTCGCACGTTGACAAAATGGTAGAACTTAAAAGACAATGTTACAGTCCGTTTCCGACAGTGCTTTCGACATGTGGTCGCCTGATTGGATAAAAACGGTCCCGCGCTACAACAGTATTTTTAATAGCCGGAAGCGATTGGCAACTCCGTTCGCGCATCATGAGACCGTGTGTTGGTTAAGAGGTGTTTCTAGATTTCACAGTAAATGTAATCGATCCGCAGGTTAAGCTAGCTATTTGGCATTGTTGTTTGAATTGGACAGCTAGCTCTTCAAATTTTCTTCTAATTTCCATGTTAACCCCTCTCAATGGCAAAAATTACTGTTGACCAAAGACCGCACCCACCGTGACTAGTGTGTACAACTCATAAAAACGAATTGCATGTGCTTCTTAGTAAAACCAACCGCTGGCTGATTTATTCATTGTGACCACAAGCAAACAGGTCGGTTGGTTTTCCAAGATAATCATTTTCCTTCGCGTGGGACTTGGTGACTATCAAACGTTGAGTTTACCTGTTTTACCGGATGTTATCAATAAATGAGCTCAGCAGCATGAGACAGTCTCTTTCCTGTTGCGAACCATGCTCATGCTCAGAGCCATTGGTTAGCCGTTTCACGCCATTGGTCACAAGACCACGCACTCGCAAGTTGAGTTTCAATTAGATGTGATTCGTAGCCCACCAGGTAACTCCCAGCAATCTCTGATTGCAATCACACTTGTGTCAGAGTGCCTGCTTAATGTTCTAAACCTTTGACTATCATAAGGTCATTTATTAGAGCAAAAACTTCACCGGTACCGAGATTGTCTGAATCTTGGATTTTATACATGAAACAACATCTAATGTCAGGCACCCGTTTATTTGTCATCAGTTCCAAGTTGCTCAACTGTTCTGCAATATGCTTGCTCTATTTCAGGTTCGCGTCGGTGGTTCGAAACGGTTCGCAGACAATGCAGGGGTGATACGTACCCTGGAATTCCCCGCACGCAGTATGAGTGTCGCGTATGCAGCCGTTCATATGGGTTACACGTGCACCGTGAGCGATCTGGAACCGAACAGCATCTACGACGTTCAACTAAGTGCTTACTATGAAATGACTCTGGATATGGAGAGTAACTGGGAAACGACAAGCTGTTATACGCAAATGCAGCGTAGGTGTTGTCCACTTCAAATTTGAATATATGCAATCATTTCCGGAAGTAACGGTCATAGCACCTAGTCTTATTTCAGCAAACCGTTCGGCTCTAACACTTTTTTTGCTTTCCTGCAGAGGAACCCGAAAAAACAACACTACTACTCGGTTCCCAGAGCCCAAGCATGCACGACCGAAAAGTCGGTGCTAACCTGGAAGTATGGACCTCTCTTCAGTAAGCTCACCCCTTGATTGGAGCTCAGCACAAGAATGTCTTGAACGAAAAGTTCGCCTTACCGTAACACTCCATGAGTAGATAGTTTTTTTTTGCCTCTGTCTGATTCGCATTTTCTCAATATGGAAAACCTACAATCCTAGTCTTTTGGAGGTCCTGTTCACCAAATTTTCAAAGTTTCAAAGAGGCTCAAGCAACTGGTATATAATGATAGTTATTAAACAACGTTATAAGTGAAACAGGTATACCGAGCCGTGCATTTCCCGGCCAATCGTCGAACATGTTATGTCAAAAAACGTTGGAAGTTTTTGACAATATGCAGACGTGAGAATGACAATGTGGATTGAAGGTGGTGATAGATCAAAATGAGCGGTACTCAATATGACGGTCAGTTCTGTTGCAAATTCTTTCTTACCAACCCAGATGCTATCATCACTGGGTGGTGTTGTTGTGGTCCAACTTGGTTCAATGGTATGCAGCTGTGTAGGTGATATTTATGCAACCGCAGTATTATTTGTATGGAAAGTGGTACGCCAGATGGTACCCTTGCAACGATTCATGTAGCCTTGTGTCCTTCTTCATGCTTAATTGCACTGCACTATATTTTACAGTTTTGTTTGAAGCCTATATATTCTACATTCAACGAACGACTGGTGTAGTGATTTTGATTTTCGAACTCGACCGAAGTTATGAAGTCCCCCTTTTTCTCCGAAGGCTAATAATCATGTCATCCTTGACTAGGCAACAAGGTGAGAACAAGATAACAAATGGGACAAAACCTGGAAGAGTCATGCTCGTTTATCTGTTGTGAAAACGATCAGCTTTGTGTCATCGTTCTCGCATGGTTGGTTCTGGTGGTGCATCAGAGTGTGGAAAGCTCTGGCAATAACAATGTAAAGGGGTCAACTAAAACATGCGGAAAGAATAGTTAAAGTGTAGGAAAGCACTTTGGTGATATCCGAGCACTACTTCGGAAATTAGCAAGTTGCTAGTATGAACACTGGACAGAACTCACCTCACTTAGTGTTTAGCACCGCTAATGATATTCGCAAAACGATCATCTAATTTACTTCCGTTGCAGATATCCGTCTCAGCTGTATAGATATCTTTCCATTTCACATCATTCCCCATAGCTTTGTTGAACCATGTTTTTAGTATCTCAAACACGGTGAGACAGAAACAAGAAGACCGATCATATACCTAGTGTATGTGAGGCTCTGACGGGGTTCGCCTTTATCCATCTAGAAATCCGTTTTTATCTGGCCACCCTGGGGACTCGGAACAACTTACCATAGTTCGAGACTGCGAAGGCGTCCTGTAGGCTCAGTTTGCCAGAAATTGGGACGTCAAACTGTGCATTGCGCCTCCCGTCTTCTCAGCTGGTTAGGTGTGTACGTGCCTGACAGCATTAATGAGGCTCGTTAGTGTTGACTGCTTCATTAGTACAGCTAAAACCGTTAAACAAAATGTGGCTACTTAAAATCAAATAGGTGTTCGGTTTTCTTCCCCCAGGGCGTTTTTTTATGACCAACTGACTTTAAATGGCCCCTTTCTCAGACGAAATCAACTGTTTTTGACTGACGGTGGTCAACAGGGCGTGTGGTCACCAAATTCTGTTCTCAGAGTAAATGCAGGCAAACGCCTATCGATTTCTGTTTCGCGTCGATAACCAACTCAGTTGGTTAGACACACGAGCGACAAAACAGGCGTAGATAGACAAACGCGCTTTTCTTTAGCAAGTCCCAGCCTGATCGGGTTGTGGTATGTGCGGGGTGGGGATAAATAAGACAAACCACTGACGGTGACCCGCTTCAGAAGGGTTGTCATGGTGATGTGGACATTTTGGCATGGCCATGCAAGCCAAACAAGTGCACTCAGACCGTGCACGATCCCAGTAAGAAGCGAATGAGTTCCGTGGACGTAAATACACGATGACATATTTAGATGACATTTTGCTGTAAACTGAATCTTAGGCCAAAGATAAACATGTCAATCAGGGAACACTCGTGTGCTAGTGGCTCTACTGCAAATTAAGAGTCTAATTGGATCAATAGAGTGTGTCTTACCTGAACAAGCCACCTTATTACCACGGGAGCAAAAGTGACAAGCATGGGTAGCATGAAAAATGTTCAGCGAGTTAGGACATTGATATCTGGTGCACTTTGCTCACAACAAAAGCGCACGTAGAATCGAAATAAACCCACCATCATCTCGCTGTTCTGTGTGTTCCGAATCGAGAACTCCCAAATAGCACTTTTCCGTTTTGCTTAGTTTTGAGACCTTCTAAAGTTTAACCATTTGCGTTCCGACGTGGCTCTCCTTGGTCTGCTTCAGAGTGGGAAGTACCGCCCTCAAGTTTAGCCCTTACAAGCCCGTACAGCAGTGCCGTGCCGTGCCTTGGCGAGACTTTACTTCAGGCCGAGAAACACTGAAGGCATCCGGTTTACGCCATTTGAACAGGCGATGTTGTTCACTCTGACACTGACTTGATCGGCACAGTGGGGGACAACCCAGTAGCTGTTCTTATGTTAGCCGACTAACCCAACAGTCGGTACCTCATGGTCAGGTGGCGTCACGGCCGCATGAAACTTGTCGTCGGACGAAGCCATCGCACCGCCCGAGCGTTAGCATGTTCGCTAATTTGGGCATGAGCATCGCGTGTTGATGAACTAGCAGTTAGATGGGTTTTATGCAAACACCTGCGTTGCTGTTGAGTTCAAATATAGGTGAGAGGGTGAAGTGTGTGTAAAAGATGGGTACAATGCTCCCCAAACTGGAATAAGCGCATAAGGACCGGAGGAAAATTATCAGTATCAGAGTGATGTAATTATGGGCTTATTTATAACAGGGTGGGTAAATACAGTTGACAGCAGTGAAATAAACTGATATCCTGTCCTGCACGTTATGTCGGCCCATTGTAAGATCAAACTGGAAAGCAGTGTTAAGTTGTTTCATTATTGTTGGAAGTGATAAAAAGCGCACACACAAAAATATAGGTTGATTCGAATAAACAACCTTCGGTTTGGCCATTGGCGACGAAATTCGCAGCGTTTGCAAACTGCAATTTTACAGGGCATTTAGCCTCATCTTGTCAACTTTAAGTTAATTACACATTCGGCCACCCATTCTACTTAACGTCTGCCACAATGTCGCCGTTTCGAATCGTCCAGGCGATGAGGGAAAATCATATTTCTGGTGATTTCCAACATAAATTCCATAACCCGATAAAGGTTCCCGAGTTTTCGATAGGAAATAACTTCTCTCTCAGGATGAAATTTTAAGATTGCCTCAAGAGATAAACAAAGTTTAAAAACACTTTTGTTTGTGAGATGCTGTGTCAGCACATTTGTTATTCATGGACACTAGCTTTGATAGGAGGCTTTGCGAAAGTTTGAGCTGTTTACTTAAACTTTGTTTGAAATCCCAAATGGCTAATGCAGGCAAAACCATTTATTTGTAGCCTTTCGGAAGTGCGAACTCACACACTCCACTCAGATGGTGTAGCGTGCTGTTGCCTTTACACTAAGTTGTGGGCTGTCAATAACGCAACGTTAGCTGACACGACAAAAGGACTGACCTTGATTGAACGTGACTATCCTCAGCCCTCATCTGTTTGCTAGCCCGTGTGGCAGAAATTTGGAGAATGTGCTATTTTCAACAACATTTATTAAATGATCTTATTGTATGTAGTCACAGCCTTAAACAAAGTAACCAGCGGTAAGGACGACTCTGACCCTTGATTCAGCATGAGCGAGGTTCCAAATATAGAATCAAGTCTATCGGAACTCTCAGTGTTAGCGACGACTGCCTTATATTTTACATTGTTCCTTATCACTGCTGGTGTAAACCAGTCACAGAACAGAACCAGCATATCCTAGAGATTTGAACAAGTACACTCATCTGCATATCAATTCCGTTTTCACGGGAGATTCGACTGAATTTCTCACCTTGCAGGTTAGAGTATAGGAAATGGCAACTGAGGTTGAAAATATGCACACAACAAAGATGAATTAAGTATGATGAAAGCAAAGCCGATGAATATAGAGGAAGCAGAAGTAGTACTCGTAACGTAACTGCATAATGAATCGACGACCGAGCAAATGCATATTTGTTCCCAGAATAAACACATGTATTAAAGTGGGCAAACATGGAAAATACTTCACCCCCAGTTGGGCGACCTCGATTAGCCGGATGACTAATGTATTCACTCTGTATTACGTGGCATCGTTCCACTAGGTAACGATGAGGATTGGGATTCATTGATGTGAGACTGAAACACAGTGAGTATATTTATCGAGGGAACACATATGAGGTGCTTACTTGATACTGCTTGACATACGTGAAAAATCCGCGTTCGCGGAAGCCTCTTATTCCGGTTGATATTTCATTTGTTCGCTGAACTGAACATTCGATCAAACGTGTAATCGCTTCGGTCTAACTGGTGATGGCACCGATATTTCTGTCTTAAATGTATATCTTTGTAGAACTTGGGCAATGTTAACTTGCTAGTCTTAGTTCGCCTTTCAAGATTACCAGATGAATATTCAATCTGATGAATCAAGTGCCACCACTGTGAACAAGCAAAACAAAAGGCACAACATCATTAATCACTGAGCCTTTTGCAGGCTCGAGCGTTTCAAAAATATTCACCTATATTCCATTACTCTCACCCAACATTTACAGACTCCTACGTTATGGTCCGTGACGTGACGGGAAGGCCACTTTTAGGCAAATTTGTGTGCAAAAATGTTCAACGTGTACTCTGAACTTGCGTGTTGGATAGCCTTATGGGAAAAACCGTTTTGCATATTCTTCAGGCGGTTCAAAATGAAATGGGGAAACTCATGAGTTTCACCCACTAGAGCCCCAGACATCTGTGATACAGGTAGCAGTTTTATACTTTTGGTATTACGTAGCACAACTAACTGGTTAACTGGCGATGTGGCTTTGAGGGTTTCGTTCAGATTCCACCTTAGACTGGTGGTGATATACTCCCTTGTAGTGATGAACACACAATGTCTTCTTCAATTTGGGACTTAGGAATTATGTTGTATAGGAAGGTAAGTTTGCTCTGAAGAGCGACAGATTTTCTAATGGTACCCTTTGTACGAAAAACTGTTTTAACCATGCTTCCCCCAATAACTGATTTTATGAACATTTAACACTAAGAGAGAGTCCTCCGACTGTGTGAAGCAATAGTTGTTGCGTAAAAGTGCACATAATAACCGTTCGGTGCACCACAAATAAATGCACATTATTCAAGTATAGTGTCATCAGAACATATGGAAAAATTGCTCTGCGCTAAAATATTTACAAGAAAATACAACTAAAGCTGTGGTGGATAATGTTCGAGACAAAGATGTTCTACTGAAGGAAGAAACAACGCAACCAGGCATGCACCTAGTCATTTGTGATCGTTTAGAAAATGGTGTGTAGTTTTCAGACCTTAGCCATATTTTTATGATGCTGATTGCCTGATTAATCACTTTGAATACAAGAAGTACACGCAGTTTGCTCTGCCTGTTCTCAGACGGCGCTACGGACTGGGATTAAACGACTCTAATCTATGCCGTTTATTGCGGTCAAAGTCTCCAGGAATTTTTGCAAACATGTTAAGTAGTACCAGGCTATGATAATCCCCGTACATGATAGCAGGGCTTAGGGGAACGTTACGAAGTGGAAGGAGCTAACAAAGTGTGTTGGCACGGTAGTGTTTTTCTCATACTGTAAATTCGGTTCAAATCTCCCGCTTGACATAACAATAAAGAGGGGTTTTACTTTTCCTCAGTAGAAACTACGTGGAGAAAATCCAGCCAACGCCTTAATCCCCAATAAGTTGTAGGGGTTTTCCGGTTATACAGGACGTTCACGTTTAGTTACCCTGTTAATGATTCAACAAATTGTGAGACAACGTAAGACATCTGGGTGAAATCAATGAAAGTATCTAATGGCTGGCCTGGGTAGTATGTTTCTTAAACTGAGTTGAACCCACCCTCATTTACAGAGGCGAGCTGCCGTTGAATTCCGGAGATCATTTTTTCAAGGGACATCTCTGTCGGTTTAATTCGTCTCACCGCCTCTCGATAGGCCATATAGTTTACACACGCACGCATACCATTCAATGAATCCGTCACTAAGTACACAGGCATTCAGATCTAACTTGCTGAATTTCGTTGCACTGTCTAACTTCTGCGCGTGGGTTAACTATCTTGGTTAGGATACTTGCTGTCCTCTTGTTGATATGACCTCAAGTCCCACTGGGAACAACTCCAAATCCTCACCTCGTGTGCTGCCTCCTTATCTCCAGGACCGCCGATTGTGCCCCCACCAATGGCAGTGGCTGCGTCCAGTGAACGCCGGCAGGTGCTGTTACAGCTATCACGCGTGAGTGAACGCTTCGGAAAGATACGCCACTATTTCCTGGTTGTCGCACCTGTTCACCTGACGGATACGGATCCAGAAAAGATTGATATTGAACATGTAAGTCAGTGTGAAGTTTGCTCCCACTTATCACTCCATATTATTTCGCCGGATTATTTCCAAAATCAGCTGTTCCTCCCCCCTTGAAAAAAATTGCCCGATTACACACTGTACTATAACTGCAGGGTTAAAGGAAAGAATGCAGGACAACTGAAAAGGTTGGAAATGGTTTTCAGACCATGTTGGGCATTAACTTCATTCACTGCACAGTTTACATGTCTTGTCCGATTTTGATTTTACCGGATAATGTGTACTGTGCCGTTTTTAATGGGATGCTTTACGGTAGCGGGTACATTCGCTGTAAATACTAAACGTTCGTTCGCTTTGTGGGTATTGTTGGAATCGAGCTGGCCGGTTAGTACACAATAGCGCTTTCAATTGTGATATACGGATCTCCATATGTAAGCAATAGTTCAGAGACGAATATGATGGGTAAACTGCACTAGTCCATCTGAGCAAAAACCACTCGCGGAAGAGCTAACCAAGTGTCCTTAAATTGGGGTCCGTCACTCTTGTGGATAGCCCTCTCTGGTCATTGGCTTGTTTGCTTGGCGGGCCATTGGGACTGCAAACGACTCATCACCAATCGAGGTGACATCATCAGTGAGTTATTGGGGAGCGTAGTGGTGCCTAACCCACCGCTACGCACCACTACGCTCCCCAATAACTCGATTGGTGATGAGTCGTTTGCAGTCCAATTGCCCGGCTCAGCAAACAAGCCAACGACCATCTACGCTACCTGAGCTACCGACATTTTACTCTGTACAAAATAGCCCTCTCTATCGACCATTCAAGAAAGCACTGAAGTATGTACCTCTGCTATTATACGTTGAACTCGAGGCACAAAAATTGCAGCTCTCATTCAGGACTTCTGAAACTAACCGAATAGATCCCTCTGTCTTCTACAGACAGTGTTACAGTGATGTTACCAGGTCAGACTTTCCCCGATACATATTGAAATCAAACCCTCAGGACATAAATTAAAAGTACAGTTTATGTAGCCAGTATTATAATTTAAAAAAATCCGAAATCTCTGTTGAACATAGCTCTCTCTCTCCGAACTTCTGGCAACTGATACTGAAGGGTTGCGGAGGCTAGGATCAGCACTTGGAACTTTTTGAGGGCAGTTACACTGCCCCATCAACATGGGCTAACCGTTGCCAGGTTTCACAACTGCGTAACCCTGTTCGTCACTTTCAAGATGCTTAACTTAACTGTACGACAGCGTGATTTGGCAAGCAATAATCAATGATCGATGGAGGCGAATCGTTTCATATGGCTTCACTCAAGTAGTCCGAATATCGATTGTTCGTCGACTGCATCAGCCACAATGCAGCTCAGGAATACGAGGACGAGTTCTTTCAATTACTCACCTCGGTTGCACTTATCACTTTTTGGAGCCAAGCAATTTGTCGTGAATTCGATGTAGAACATCTGCAATGAATATATTGCGAGAATAGTAAGATCCTACCAGTTGTGGTAGGTGGAGTCGCAATCAGTGACGGCCAATGCAGAAACTTTGTTACCACGCTTACTTAGTAGATGAGAGCCGATATTCTAACATTTAGGGGATTTGAATGGACTTTCACTATTAATACCAAGCATTTCATACACCCCGTATGATCAGTAGCTTTTCTCTTGAATTGTTGACCAGATAGCGGAAAATTTTAGCGGGTAACCCAATGGATCAAGCTCGTTCGCCAAGTCGAATAAACACGCACGTCAACATGTGTTCTTGTATACTGTGAGCCCGGTTTTTTCATTTTTCCTTTATGACCCGGCATTGCTTGGCAGAATTTAGCACCGGGATTTATTGGCAGTGTAAACATCCGCGGGGATTACCAGCTGCTCGAGCGGACAAATCTATGTGATGCACCCATGTTAATGCCATTAATTATCCGGATAGTAGCATCGAGATTGTCATCAACCGCGTTAACTGCAATGGATCTATCGATCGTGGTTCTGGATTGTATAAACCAATGGGGATAGTTTTGATCTGTTTATTCCTAACACAGTTTTGTGCTCTTATCCAAACACACTTATTTGTCAGAGTTTTAATGTATCCAACTTAACCGCCCGTGGCTAAATTTGGTGTCCTTGTCCGGGAAAGGCCCTGAAGTGAGCGGATGGATTATGCGGTATCCTGTAAGCGGTGTCAGCTGAACAGTTACATCTTGCATCTTGCTTACAAAAACGGAATATCCATCTTCTCTTTGAACGCGTCTTCCTAAACTTTACAGGATATTCATTGACTCTTGCTCAAATTCAAGCAACTGCTGCAAAGTGACTCCGTAAATTCCGCTGTAGACCTCACTTTTCAAGAGATGCAAAGCGCATTTACGAAAAACATACTACTCGCATGCATCTCCCATCAGTAGTATCACTGGTACACTGGTAGGATCGGGATGGTTACATACTATTCTTTTACTGGTACATTGACACCATATGATCCGGTCTGCCTGATGATTTCCAAAAACGATGGTTTTGAACATTTTAAAATGTCCAATTTTCCGAATATTCATTTCGGAATCAGTGAACTGGATACGAACATCACCGCAAAGTAGAAATATCTCGCCAGTAGTGTGCGCGTGTGTGAGAGAGAGGTAAGAATGTTTATTCTTTCTGGGCAACCAGTTTCATGCAATGAATGTGGTGCGCTGGATCGTGTGTCAGATAAATTAGTGAAATCTCCGAGAGGATGGTTTCCCCTCAAAGGGATCGCACATCAAATCTTGCTTCTAGGGTAAGGCAGCCTCCATACATGGGACCCTATAGAGGGTCAGTTTTTACCACATTGCGTCACCGTGTTTTAGGAAGTTTCTTCCAGCTAGCCTGTCTTACATATGATCCATAAAATGAGGCGTGCTAATGTCGTACCCTGTGCGCGAAAATGTGGTGAAATAAAGTATGAAAACCATCGGCCTGTACAAGGATCAGAGAGTTCCGCTACGAACTGAACGGATGCTCATCTTGTTCTTAGGCATTAGGTTTGACCTCTTGGTAGTAACTACATGATCACATCTACCATTTTACCAGGTTACTGAAATCAAATTCAATCTTTTAACTTTATCGTGGGTGATGGGAATGCTTACTTCAGGACAGTAAATTCCCTTTGAAGAGGGTCTATGTCCTGGGAACTACTGTGACTCATGTAGTCAAAAATCGTGCATACTTCGGGTAATCTACTGCCTAATTGATGTTGTGATATAGAGAAAAACGAAATGGAAGGAGTGGTTGCTCACCCGCGACACCTAGGGTGATCTTCATCGGGAGTTGGGGCTGGTCCTCTAAGCCAATTCTTACGAGACCGAAGTGAAGTAGTCTTTCTTGGAGAGTACACTTGCTTTGAAGGATTACTTTAGTCGTAAATTTTAAAATGGGCCGTACGACCAGGATTCTGAAGAGGCTTCTGTGGGTGATTCAATGAGAGACTCTAATATTTGAGACCAAAACTGCCTTTGTCGTAGTAGTAAGCAAATGGTTTCCACCTAATTAGTCGATAGACCGTCAAGTCCACTGACATTCCTTCGCTCGATAGCTTATTGATCCGTTGTATCACTCCGTAAACCGGTTATATATGTGGTCGATTTGCCTGTAGCTGAAAGATTTCATTTTCGATGCCCTCAGTGATTAGTCAAAATTTGACAGACGGTTTTCGTTCGGGAGTTTTTCTCCGACCGCACTGGTTATGAGATAACTTGGCTTGGTTAATATGGTGGTAGCTAAGCATATGTCATACCGTTCCGATGCACATCAAAAGAATAAATTTAAAAAAAGGAATTAGAATAGAGTCCTCAGCAACCTCATGAGTAGCGTATTACGACATTATAGTGTATTGCGACATCTCGAATACCGTACCGAGTGAAACAGGAGACTGCCTGGTGCAGCACATTCAGTTACTTAAAGCATCATAAACAAGAGATTCAGTTAAGCTCCAGTTGGGACCACTTTCTAAACCAAATTGGAACGCAGATGAGTTTGTTAGTCAGGAATTAGAGTAACAATCTCTCAAAAAATAGTTCACGTTTCTTTTGGACTCAGTGCAAACTCCCGAAGCTGTGAGCAACTTCGTGCTCACTTTAGCCATCCTATAGGAAGGAATAAAAAACTATTCTTGCCTGATCGATAACACTGCCCGGTACCTGTTCTGAGGTAATTTCATTTGTAAAATGTTCAGCTTGCACCTTGCGTCAATCATCCAGCGAAACCAAGCGGAAAAAACAATGAAGTCCACGGGATCACGTCAGGACAAACGGACAGAAAAATGAGAGGAGTATTCAATGTTATGTTCTAGTAATCGAAAATACTGAGTGGAATGCAGCAGAACCACAGAGATGGAGGATGATTTCTTAGGGTCTCAAGCGAAAACTATAGAATTTATTTGTGAAATCACGTTCAGCAAATCGTTTGAAGAGTCGGAGAGTAGAAGGATTTACGTCCATAACCACACCACTCTCGTTTGAACGGCCGTGTTCCTGTTCTGGCGTAATTATTCCGGTGAGTCTACACCGAAGGGAAGGACTGGACTCGAGTTGCGCTCTTATCGTAGCTCATTAGCAGTGCATATCTAATGGCCGTGCCAGGATTTGAACCCCCCACCCACATCTGACATGCGAGGCGAGCGTGTAACCACTACTCCACCAACGCACGTTGGACCCATCCGAATTTAGTTTTAGATTTAGCTCGAATGTCCTTTTCCGTTGTGCTTGGTTCGATTACTGTTGCACCATAACATTCTTCTGATTTAAGCTCTACGACTTGTAAGTGGGCGGAAACATTATCGTGATCTCAGTAGAATTAATTGGGTTTGATCTGATTTAAATGGCGCTTGGAAGAATCTTCTAAAAATCATGCTACGCTATTCTTCACTATGAGAGTTTAAGAGACCGTTTTTCACACCAGGTAGGTTCTCGTTTAGCGTAAGTAAAATGTCGTTGCAATGGGGTTTGTGGAAAGGTTAATCGTGCAGGAACCACTTTGTGGCTGGATTAGATTAAGGG